GTATGTCATATATGAATACGTTTGTGAAAAAGAGAATGAGAGAGAAAAAAAGAAAGAATTTATTTCTCTCTCTCTCTCTGGAAAATTCGCGCAAAGCATAAATAGAAGTAAGTACCTATGCTTTTTTATACACGAGTCGTGCAAGTATTCGCATAAGCTTTCAAAGCCACGCGTCGATTTGCATGAACACTTTTTTACTTTAACGGCAGACGCATTTTAGCGAGGTGGGTGGGGGTTGCACATTACACGTGCAAATACTAACGTATATACTTATATGTGTATTTATATATGCGTGAATTTTTCTCGCGTATATTTTATGAATATATTATATAACAAAATATACGAATATATGTGATGATATATATATATGTGTCATTCAATCTCAAATCGACCACTTTTGACCCCCTAACCCCTTTCGATTTGGCTGAAACTTTTTGATCATTTTCTACCTGATTGAAAAACATCTCTCAGAATTTTTTCAAATTATGTCACTCAACTCAAACAAAGTTATGAATTTTTCAGCCCCCAAAAAATGTTTTTTTTCCTTTCGAATAGCCGTAACTTTGCCAAAAATTTACTTGTCGAAACGTTTTGTCTTTTTTTTTTTTAAATCTTTTGTCTTTAAATGTACTTTCCGGAAAAAAATATATACTTATATTGTAGTTAATTATATACTATCGAAAATTATAATAACAAAATTTTAATTTGCAATTAATTATGGGTTAATTTTTCAAGTGAATATTATAATTAGCAATTTATTTAGATTTCCTTGATAGTTTAAATAATTTACAAACAATATATTGTTCTGAATTAGAATAATTCTTTACAAACAAACACCCATCAACTGCTTGGTATAACACTATGCAACTGCTGAATTCCTGCAATGGTTTTAGTTTTTAAAAATCGGTCAACTAGAATCATTTGCAGCTTTATTGTAGTTTTTTCAATTGGCTAAAACTTCACCGTTATGGTTAATTCTATATATTTACTTATAGAAAAACAACGAGACGTTGCAATATCTATAAAATAAGAAGAAAAACTTAGAAGGAACGAAGAGGAAATTCGTTTAATTTTACGAGCTACCCCTTTACGACGTAATTTTCTTCGGGGTGATATCGATCCTATCGAACTTTGACCTCGTCAATTATTTTCTAAGTCGTTCGAGTAGATAAAAAAATACTTCATTTTGCTTCATCTTTTTTTTTTCCTTTCCTCCCAACAATCTTATTTAATTCTCATTCACGTTGAAGCTTTACTTAAAAACTGCATATACCTAATCGAATTGTTTTTGTTAAATTTCTTTTGAAAATATTAATATACACATATATATATATATAAACGTCACGAACTTTAATTATCATCCTAATATATTATAATAATATATAATATAAAATAAACAGCGTGTAATTGTAAACAATTATCCTAAATTAAAAATAATTCACAATTGAGAAATAATTTTGTAATGTGTAAAAAAGGGGGGAAATTTCATTGAACGTTATTTTGGAATAATTTAACATTTGATTTCTGAACTTTAATCTTAACCGTTCATGAGAAATCCAGGGGAAAATGAAAAGGGGTTAACCGTTCGAGTACTCAGCGGAGCGCGTTCAACAATCACGAAGACATTTTCGTTTGGAATACATGTACCACCTTTCTCTATCCTACTCTCTCTCTCATACACACACACACACTTGTATGTTGAAAGCAGGAAGAGAGAGAGAGAGAGAGAACTCGGACGTTAGCATCGTTATCCCTCGGTATAGCTTGCAACGGTGGTGGGTCTAGTTAATTTGGTTGACAAGAGACTAGCTCGTAGCAACAACAGCAACAGCAACAGCAGAAGCAGCAGAAGCAGAAGCAGGAAGCTTGCTACCCCTGGATGCTGTTTGTTAGAAACCACTCCCTTTCGCCTTGCAAGCCATCTTCTCTCAAATTCACCTAACCTTGTCTACTATCTACTACTATAGATAAAAGATAAGTGACATTTGACTGGCGCCAAAATAAGCAATGCGACTATCCCATTCGTATTTGTTTTTTTCTCTTACTTTCCTACCCCCCATATCATTCACAACTATTTCTATCTTTTTATTTGTTGTTGTTGTTCTTTGATCATTTGATTTTCATGTCGATTGATGTATTTGTATTAGTTGTTATTATTATTATTATTAGTAGTAGTATTCAATTAGTTATTTCTCTCGTCCAAAAATAAAATTATTAATAAATAAGTATCGTAGGAAAATTGGACAAAATAAAGGGACGAAACGTCCAATTAATCAAAACTATGTTCTAGTTCTTTTTAATGTCCAATTTTCCTACGATACTTATTTATTAATAATAATTATTATTATTATTATTGTCAGAGTGTACCAAAAGTTCATGAGTTTATTGTGTTCTTGTTTCAGATAGTGCAATTATTTCGTAATCTCAATTAAATATTTATTCGAAAAATGTACGAACTTTCACGATTCATCTTTAATATTATTAAAATTTAAAGATAAAAATATTTATAATCATCGTATCAAATGTTTTCATGCGTTATGTTGTTTCATATCGTATATAAACGAAAAGTAATGATAGGTAAATGAAGATTATATTTTATTTATTTGTTTTATTAATTCAAACAATTCATTTCTCATTGTTTTTCTTTTTATATACTCGCGTTTTATTACATTAATATTTATTTAATCAACATTCTGTCATTTATCTCGTATGTATTATATTTTTATTATTTAACTAGCTTAACGTAACGCATTAGGAAAACGTGCTATTCCGATATTATTTGCGAATACAATATTTAACATCGTATCCGTATCGTTAATCATTTATAATACAATTTTTGTCGTCTACATTCCTCCCCCCCCCCACCTGCTTTAAAAAGAAAGAATAATTAAGTTCAATGAATTATAGACTTAAAATGTAATACGTTTAAAAAAAAAAAGAAAGAAACAACAACATCGGATAGAAAGGAAAAATTAATTTGTATCCGATAAAAAATAAAATACAACGCGTATCTACGAAAGGGTATAGTAAAAGGTTAAAATTATCTGATAGAATAATTATTTAAATATTAAATATCGTCAGGATTAAAAGTTTATAGTTAATAATAATAAAATATGAAAATGAAACACGAAATAAAAAGTTATAAGGGTGTGGGGGTGGGGGGAGGGGAGGGAGGTAGGTTTAACTTCTTTGAAGCGGGAGAACATTTCTCATGAATTCGTGTCAAAGATGAAAAATTAACGCAGGAAAATCGGGTATTCTCTGTTCGAGTGACACGCAATGGACGCCTTGTGGTTAAGCGAATGGGAGGGTAAAGAGGAAATTAGGGTCAAAGGTCGCTCTTCTCTGAACTTGTTTGTGCTTAACACACAGACCGGTCGAACTCGTATATATGCATTAACGTAGGTGAATGCTGGCTCCACATATACACACGCACTTATACATAGATAGATGGATAGATAGATAGATGCATGTAGTATAGGAACCACACACGTATGTGTAACTAAAACTACTATTACGTAGATGTCATCGAGAAGCTTGAATATTGATCGGAAAGGTCAAAGGAATTGATGCTGGGCCCAGTTCTTTAGAAGTTTCCGAACCAAACATTTATCAAATTGCAAATCGTTTACTAGTTAACTCCAGCTACTCTTATTACCATTATTTAACTGTTAACTTCGAATGTGTATCGTTTTTCGATAAGAAAAATAAAATGATCATTTTTATATAAAATATAAATTTATAATTTTTATATAAAATATTATATTTGATAATAATAAGAAAAGAAAGAAGTTATGAACTTAAATTTGTTTTTGTTTTCTATTTTTAGAATTGGATTAGCTTGTAGAATAGAATCGTTATGATGTTAATTAGATCAAAAATTAATTTTAATTTTGTTTGAAGTTAAAATATATTTCGATAGAATATATAAGAATTGTTGTTGCATTTTTGTAAAAAGAATAGTTATATCGGAAGCCCTCCAAACCCGAAAGGGTACGGAGTATAAATAAATAAATAAATAAAAATATTATTATATTTGATATATGATCGAGATAGTTGAATACCATTCTTGTCGATATTGTCTAGTAATATTTTTTCTTAATAATATACGATAGTTTCATAGACCAAAATATTACGTCGATATGAGAGAAGAAAAAATAGATGAGAGAGAGAGAGAGAGAAAGAAAGATTGCCATCATTAATTCCACTTCGAATCGTTAAATCGGATTTGAACGAGTGCTTTTCTTTGAACATAGTTCATAATTCTACGTTGATCATCAATTTGGATTAAACGAGAAATACGCTTTATAGTACACGTAATATCTAGATACATATACAGAAATGCACACTCATATATATATATATAAATATATACGTCATCTTTAATCTGTCTAGTTTTCTACAGTAAAAAAAAAAAAAAATGACAAATTATTGATAGGATTTATTGCTTCGGAAACAGAATATCCGAGATCAAAAGCTAGTCGTAAAGTACATGCGAGATAGGTGCACCGTCCGATATTGCAATAAACTATTCAAATGGTACACACATATACCACACGGACACATATATTCACGTATGTGTATACATACATATAAATATACACTAGCATTGAATTAAGCCAATGCTCGTTTCTCAGTCAAAATCTACGTCCCACAGTTTACGTGCGAGTGCATTTTCAAATTCAAATCGCATTGTGTTCGACATTGCAATCGACTGCAATATCGGTTAAATCAATTATTTCGATATTTTCATTGTTTTAACAAATTTTAACAATTAAATAAGACCGTAAGGAAGATATATATATATATAGAGACGATATCATATTTTATATAACTATTTACTGAATGAAAGATAAATTAAATTATACGTGAAATGTAATAAAACTTTAGATATTATTGTTTTATGACTAATATTTATATTAATCATTTATATTATTTCACATGACACTTTATATTTTATTTTATATCTATACTATTATTATTATATTTATATGTTACAGCATTACCACAAAAAGTCGAGATCAGTAGTCAACCGTTCAAGAAAAATCTAGACGGCAATAGTCATTCGAATAAAAACAAAATCGAAGTTAAAGTTGGCGAATCAACGCGTTTGGAATGCGTCGTGAGATCTGCAAAACCAGCAGCCTCGATTGTTTGGTATCGTGGAAATGTACAAATCAAAGGTGGTGACACTAGCATCATGCCGATATCGATCGAAGGTGGTAAGTTTCTATTCATTATTTTAATATACTATCTCTTAAAAAAAAAAAAAAGAAAAAAACAACTTTATATCTAATTCATGATCTAATTATTATTTACATACGGGAGAAGTGCGTTTGAATTTTTCAAAACGTTCCAATTTTAAATATTTAATGTTTCAACTCGGTAACACTAGTAACTTTGAAAATTTTTAAATAACACTCCCATTAACTTTTGATGTATCATCTTAAAAGTTAATACGAAATTTCCGTCATCCTGACAATGATCGTCGAGGAAATAAGCAAAGGAAAAATAAAAAAAAAAGAAACTCGAGATAGAAATTGTGAAGTTGTTCAAATATAAACGTAGTATATGACACGTATATATGTATGTATGTATATAAATAATAATAATAATAATAATGAATAAATAAGTATCATAGGAAATTTGGACATTCAAAAGAACTAGAACTTCGTTTTGATTAATTAAAATTCGTTCTAGTTCTATTGAATGTCCAAATTCCCTATGATACTTACTTATTAATAATTTTATTTTTGGACGAGACGAGAAAAACAACTAATTGAATAATAATAATAATAATAATGCACGAGAAAAGTACGGTAAGCATTGATTTAAATTTAAAAGAGAGAGAGAGAGATAGCAAGGAAAAAAATATGAAAAAAGAAGGCAAGGAAAATTAATTCGAAACGCATTCGTCACTTTTTCTCATTTCGCTGTACCGAAATATCGTATCGAACGAAAAATGAAAGAATCGTCAGCAGCTTAATTGAATTTTCCTTCTAGTACCAACCGCTCGATCATCCGAAAGTATCGATTATTCCGCTCGCGCGCACCTTCGATTAAAACGAGATAACGGTGGGATATCGGGCAAGGCAATGCAATCACGGAACAAACATCGATGTATTTTAGAATTAACGCCGTTTAAAACATTCCATGCTCGTTTCTCGTAGTATGTACTACGTGCTTTGGTTAACGGTGAACCAAACCAACCCCATACATATAGTATACACATACATACATACATACGTATTGTGTCCTATCGAAAGAAAGAAAGAAAGAAATCAACCCCCCCACCTACCCCGAAAGAATCAACAGTCTATGTCTATGGGGTTTTTTTTATATATGAGGGACTTATATTATCTATGAAGTTTTTTCAAGTCTTCAGTAATATTTATTATATCATGGGGAATGATTAAAAGCACGTGAAGTACATTTATTTTGACGATAGCGAATGAGTAATGTTTATTGAAATATTTTTGTAAGTATTATTATATTATCTGCATATGCATAAATTATATACGTATAAAAATGTGTAAATATCGTATTGCAAGAAAATATTATATTAATAAAAATCAATGATTATATTATCGTAATTATATATTATTATATTCTATGAAAATATTGTAGAATATTATTTACACACACAATTATTTAATGATAGAATTTAATTTTAATGAATTCTATTAATAAGCTAAAGTATAAAATCAAACAAAAGGGATTTAGTTAAACGTAGTATAAGTATTTTTGATATACTTATAGATAAGTAATTAACTAGGTAATTACTTACTCAAGGAACAACCATACTTAAGAAAATATTAAGACAAAGCACGTTTCTTCATTCATGTCGATAATGCTTGTTCAGACAAGGAGATGCTGAAGCCTGGCGAAACTACGAAGAAACTTCTCAAATACGATACCCACGGATCTATCACTATAGTCCCAACTGCCGACGATGATGAGATGGATTATACCTGCGAAGCCAATCATCCAGCAATTCCCATTAATCGTCCGATGCGGGCTACCATCAAACTCTCCGTTTTCTGTAAGTAAAGGACCCATCGCATAACTAACATACAGGAAACGTTGTTAATCGGAAAGATAAATTGCATAGATCGAAATTGATAAAAGCGAATAATCAAATTTGTATTTTTATTTAAACAATATGACAATATACCATATTGTATTTACTTTTGATAATAACGTTAATAAATGTTTGAGATTAAATTTATTTCGTAACGTTAACACAGGAAGTGTGACAGTTTTTGTTTTAGATAATTTTTCTAAAAGTTCTATTATTATTTCTTAACTCGTTGAAATAATTTTTCATTTTTACATTACAAAACTGCGAACCTAATTAGGAATATATAAAATTTTATAAAAGAAATAAGAATAGATAAATTGTTATATAAAATCATTTAAAAACCTTTGACTAATTCTGAATATATAAAAACTTGGATATATTATTTCGTTTCGAAAAAGAACACAGATGATATTGGAATTAATTGTTAATTGTAATACAAAAAAGAATGGTTAACGATTCCTTTAGGAAATGAATTGCTGATTTAATATACGATAAATTTAAAATACAAAAATATAATGAATTTTGACAGATCCACCAGGTATACCATACATCGAGGGTTACACCGAGGGTGAAACCGTACAACGGGATCAACAAGTGGAGCTTACCTGTCGATCACGAGGTGGAAATCCACCTGCCGAAATTGTTTGGTATAGAAATAACAAACAAGTCACGACCAAGTATCATTCGGAAGGAAGCCTATCAGAGAGTGTCCTGTCTTTCAAGGCCATGGCACAAGATGACAAGGCACGATACAAATGCGAGGTGTCCAATATCATGAGTGTTGAACCCATGAAAGTGCACGTTGACCTAACTGTACTTTGTAAGTATAAAAGGGAATGACATTTTATCTTGTGTCACATTAAACTATACTTTAACGATGCTAAGAATATTTTATCACATTAACATCATCTTAATTATCAACGTCAATTTATTTAGATGGTATTAGGGGATAAAATTACTTCGAGATGAAGATTTTCATTTCACTCGACAATCTTTCCTTTTTAAATATTAACACGTTCACTAATCCCACGCTTTCTCATTTTAATCTATATATTTATTTATTTATTTACGGGATATACTGATTAATATATAAATTTAACAAAAAAGATGAAGTAAAAAAAGCAAATAATAGATAATATATACTATACATAAATAATAATTAATAAAAATTAGTATATATAAAAACAAAAATAGTATATTCATAACTTTTTAATTCTACGAATACACTTAACACTAGATATACAAACCGAACCAAGTTGACTCATTCAAACTTTGATAATATTACTACATATATATAAAACTTAAATATTATTTTTTTAAAAACATATGTTTGATTTTTAATTACTTAGTAAAATATAAGGTAAAAATATTAAATTCCTCTATCGTTCAATCAAACGTTCGTAAGTTTTGAAAAAAAAAACATAATAAACGAAACATCGGTCAAAATCTAGTGTTAAAAATAATATTAAATTAAATTAAAAAAAAAGAAACGCGTTACGAGAAAAGATTGTATATAGAATGAAAAATATTTTTCCAGTTGTGCCAGCCAATGTGATAATCACCGGACCTACCGAGGCAAAGGCAGGTGAACAAGTTGTGATTACTTGTACAACAGAGAACTCTAACCCACCTGCGGATATAAAGTGGTCGGTTGACGGTCGGAACTTTGAGAATAGCACGTCGAAAACGGAACCAGCGTCTCAGGGTGGTTGGATCACAACTTCGAATGTGACTTTCAGTATAAATCACAAGAGTAGAAGCATCGTTGTTATCTGCCACGCGTCGAATGCTAAACTTGCTGAGAATGTGGTTGGCACACATACTATCAACGTCATCTGTGAGTATAATATACTTTATATATATAGAACATATACATATACATACATATATATGTATACCTACAGTATACGTACTGTATAACTCACCATAATGAAATTTTCGTTCGATGAACTCGCAAACGATCAATTCGTCAACACGTTGAACTCCCACTCCACCCCCACCCCCACCCCCGAGTTATTTTTACTCGATCCGATCGTTAAATCCATTATACTATTCTCTCGAAAACGTTGAACTTTCTATCGGTTGAATTCTATATCAAAAAAAAAAAAAAAAAAAAGAAGAAAAAAAAAAACGAGATATTATAAAGGTCCGATTTGGAAACTGAAAATTCTTTTTTTATTTTCAACGTTTTCCAATGACGTCTTTCAATTTTTCGTAATATTCTTAAAATTTATTGTTGATGGTTACATATAACAAAATTAGATACATATATTATAACGATTCAAATTATACTTTTATAATTTTAACAGAATAATTATTATACAATATAACTATAAAAGTATATATTAAATATATCATCGTAACGATTTCTGTCTCTGCAACGGATACACGTTACAGTCATCGATGCAACAGAGTGCATTATCGTCCCCCTCGTAGTTTCTCATGCAAATTCCTACCTTCGGTTTGGGTAAATCAATCTTCTTGGTTAGAATGTTGGGGTAGACATATATATAGAGAAAGACAGAGACAGAAATAGAGTAAGAGAGAGAGAGAGAGAGAGAGAGAGAGAGAGAGAGAGAGAGAAATTGGCTATCGTACTTCCTAATTCAGAATTCTGCTGTTTGAGCAAATTATTCTCGTTCCGAGACAACACCATGTTGTCAGGTAGTACTCTCTCATTCTCTCTCTCATTCTCTCTCTCATTCTCTCTCTCTCTCTCTCTCGACTTTGGTTGGCTAGTTGGCAAGAGCCACGCATGTCTGACCTTTCTCTTTTCATCTAACCGTAACACTGCTGCCAAATGTTAGGAAAGGATGATGAGGAGAAATGGCGTCAATATTCAACGAAATAATATCATTTGCTAACTCAAAGTATTAAAATGTTCGCTATTAAAACTTTAACTCATTGCAGCACAAAATTTCAGATAATAAAATAGTCCCTTGGTTGCATACAAAATTTAATTATTTTTAAATGTTTTATAAATGAAACAAAATATATATATTGGGATATATTTTTTATTAATAAAGGTATAAAACAAAAATATATAAGAAAAATAGAATAATAGTTTAATTAGATTTAGTAATATTTGTTGAAGACATTAACAATTGTTTTAGGTAGATAAGATTAAATATATTTCCTGGTGGAACTACAAATGTTCCAGTATGCATTAAGGTACAGGACAATTTTTAATCCCACCTTAACCCAAAGAGGATATCTTTTAATCTTATTTACATTTAATCTGAAATAAATATATAAGAATAATTTCGTATAGATAGATAGTTATCATCATCATCATCGTCTCTATGGAAAATGCAACTTTTGATAGCTTCGTTAGTCGTGAAAAACGAATAATGAGCTTTTTAATATATAAAATATAATATTCCTAAGTATATATATATATACACACCATAGCTTTGAAAATTTTCACGAGGTGCTACGTCATTTTATCGAGACAATACAGGGAACTGGTATAGAATGTTGTTGGTATGGGTGGTGCACACGTAGCAAGAACTGGTGCTGGTGCTGCTGTTGCACTACGTATTACTGCAACGCTTTTTTTGATCCGAACGCAAAGAGAATGAAGATTAAAGCTAGCAACACATATACACACTTTGTTCTAGATCCACCCTCGAACCTCTTCGTCACTGGTTATGAAGAGGGTACAACTATAGACGCTGGAACGGTATTAAGACTTCAGTGCACAGCCACAGCTGGTAATCCACTGGCAACTCTGACGTGGTATAAAAACGATAGAAAGGTATATAATATGGGTAAAAAAAGATTTTTATCTATCTATGCGCGTTCTCTTTCATTATAAAATATGATTATTTTTTCATCTTGTGAATATTTAGAACATTTTATATTATAATTATTTCTAATCTCTTTTATTCGTTTCTTCAGATACTCGGTACGTCCAGAACGAGAGATCAAGCTGTTTCCAGTGAACTAGCAATACTCGTTAATGCATCGGATAACAATGCACACGTTAGATGCGAAGCTACCAATTCTGCCACGGAAATACCATTGATGAAAACTCTAATATTAAGAGTTAATTGTATGTATTACATATTATATTTAAGGTTAATTACAAAAGTTCGCGTATGTGGGTGTTACTTTTTAAATTGTAATATTTTTTACAAAGTTAATTTTTATAAGAAAAAGAAGAAAAAGAAAGAACTATCCATCGTGCAGTGTTTAATGCAATTTGTGACACGATAAATTAACGAATTTCTTTTGATTAACCTAATTTTAACATTAGAAAATATATTAGAATCGAATTTCTTTTCTCATTTGACACGAGGGGTGTTGCATTTTATTTATTTATTTATTTATTTATTTATTTATCGTCTATTATTTATCGTAGTTCCGCCCGAAAAAGTGAAGATCACGCGAGAACCGCAGGATTTCCATGCAGGTCAGGAAGGTCGTATTATTTGCGAATCAAGTAGCAGCAATCCAGCAGCAGAGATGTCATGGTGGAAGGGTGGTATATCGGTACCCTCAACGAAAAATGGTACTAAAGCGGGTTTACACGGTGGTTTTCTTTCCTACGTCGAATTGGCTTTGGATTTAACGGAGGACATGAACTGCGAAGTGTACACCTGTCAAGCAAGAAACGCTCAAATGGAAAGGTCGATACACGATGCGATAACGCTTCACGTTCTATGTAAGTACATATATATATATATATATATATACAGTGATCATATATACATTTGGAAACTAATAAAATCAAACGAACCGTGCGGAAAAGTGTTGTTTCGTTTTATTTTTGAAGTTATACTTCTCTTTTGGCGCGTTTTGGAAAGTGAATTTAGATGCGACAGAAAAATCGACACCACGAAGTTGTCGATGATATTTACGATGCGATTCAAATTTACGGCATGAAGTAATTCGTAAATAAATAAATTAGATTGTACATATTTATATTAAAACCTTTTATCTATGGTATTTAATATCTTCATTTTATTTTATCATATTATCTTTTTTTCGAAAAATGTAGAATATTATATTGGTACGCGAGATAATTGAATTTATTTTTGAGGTTATGTTCGTTTTGTTACGTTAAAAAAGTATAAATTCTTACGTGCGTACATAAGTACACACATCAATTTTCTTTTTTTTCGTTTGTTTGAAATAAAATTTCATTCGACCCCCATTCGAATCCAAAAACCCCAATCGATTTTTCGCCACGAGATGATTCGTTTAAACATTAATATGGGAAAATTGATGTTATAGACAAGCCAATATTTTCAACACTGGAACATTACGAGTTAACCGGCATGGAAGGTGAACCCTTCGTAATATCCGTCTCAGCAACTGGAAATCCTAATACGGTAACTTATACATGGACAAGGGATGGTTTACCTTTGAGTAGTATAGGCAAAAGAATAACTGCTCGTGGACCAACCCTGAATATCACCAAATTGGAACGTTACGATGCTGGAACGTACACGTGCGAAGCTATCAACGAAGAAGGGACTACCTTTTATCCACTCAATTTGACCGTACAATGTGAGTAAATCTTTCTTTTTTGTTCTTTTTTTTTTTTCAAATGAATTCCCATATTTTCTATCGATTTTTTATACGAATATCTTTTATTCAACACTTTATCTAAAACTTAACATATTTATTTATTTATTTATTTATTTTGTATCTTTTGTATGTGTGTATTTTATATATTAGATCCTGCCAAAATCTTACACACGTCAACGTCGGGCACGGTATATCCACCTGGAATCGAAGCTAAATTGTTTTGCGAGGTAGACGGTAGCCCTATAGGAGACGAATTCGTGACTTGGCAAAAAGTTGGTTCCAATTCTGAATTACCTGGAAGATATTCGACATCTTTCGCGAACAAAACTTCATATCTTCATATAGAACATCCAGAAAAGGAAGACGTAGGAGAATATCGGTGCAAAGTTAACAACGGAATTGGCAATGCCACTTCGAAACCGATTTTATTCATTACGAATTGTGAGTTAATAATAATCGTTGTTACTTTTGTTAACAAAAGAAAAAAAAAAAAAAGAATAAAATAAATCGTAACCCCTCTCTATATTCATTTGTTTGTTTTTTGTTTGTTCTATTTATTAACAGTTACACCAGAAATGATGAATACACCGTTAACGAGAAAGGCCGCGGCAAATAAAGGAATAAATGCGCCACTTTATTGCAAAGCACGGGGATCACCGTTGCCACGTTTCACATGGATTTTCAATGGGAGATCTTTATTACCTAACGCGACCGAACACAAATATAGCATCACGCATAGCGACGTAAGTGTTAAAAATAAAGGTATAATAATATTATAATAATACAAAAATAATGTTGTATTAACACACGTTAAGTGCCACGTGTACCAACGATGGTACACATAGAGGCATATTTATTTAATACGTTAAAACAACAAATGGCATGAATGAAAAATAATCGAACGAAAATAATTTAGCATGGAACGGTGTTCAAATTATGTTTTATAATAAATAAGAGATTATGTTATATGATAATATAATAATAAATATAATAATAATATATAATATATAATATAAAT